GCTCCAAGGTGATGAGGGACTTGCTGGACCCAGCACTGAGCCAAGGAGCAGGTCACACTTTGCTGGCCAGGAGAGTAATTTGATCTGGGAAAGGGGTAAGAGATGTGTGGAGTGGGCATGGGCTGGCTGCATCTCTCCTGGGGATACAGGCTCTTGGGGGGGCTCTTCAGTCTCTCCAAGGCTGGTGGTGAGTAGTTGCTAAATCTTGGTCTATGCTGGCGAGATCTATGTGAGCTGTAGAGCAGGTTGTGGCTGCGCACACAGAAAGGGAGGGCCTTTTGTTGGGAGACGTCGAAGGCGGCTCGCGGGAGAAGGAGGGTGGGAGGGTGAAGTTTTCTGTTTTCCCTCTATGTGTCTCATACCAGAGGCTGGAATTACAGTGCCGAGGGCGTTGCGGGTGCACAGCCAAAAAACTGGTGGAGAACGGTAAGTGCACGTACCGAAGTATCTGTCAGCAAGCTGCCTTTGAATGGTTTCAAACAAGGTCCCCACCACAATTGAAAGGTTTGGTGAGTCTGTTAAAACAAACAGTGTTACCAGGACAGAAAACACTTCCCTGTGAAGCCATGGAGACATCTGCTGAAGATCTCAGTGCTCTTCTGGGAGGACCTGCTGCCATCATCCTTCCTATTTATAATTACAATACTCTGATTTGCAGACTTCACTGGGGTATTTTCCCCTGTTACATAGTGTTACCAGCTGCAGAATGGAGAAATTCCACGTAAGAACTGTATAAGACATGGAAATGTTTTCTTTGCCTTTGGAAAAGAGAATTACATTATTCTTAGAGCAGCTGAGCTAAGAGCTAAATCTGACTGCTTTTAGGAATAAAAAGGTCAGTTATGGAGTGGCCTGCATGGACATTTTAGGACCAGAGTTATTTAATGTATTAATTATCTGTAAAAGGTAGTGGACCAGCAGTGAAGTGCTTAAGCATGCAGATACCACAGACTTGCTTAGGTTAGGCTGCAGAAAAGATTGAGGAACATTTAAAGATCTTGATCTAGATTACAGACAACATTATACCAGATCAGTGTAGTACTGAAAGACAGTAAACATTAGAAGAGGAAAACGGAACTATTTGTACATAATTCTATGTCCTAAATTAACTGCAGCTCCTCCGGAGAAAGGACTGTATGTCTCAGAGGATCTCCCAGATAAAACATCTGCTGAAATGCCTCGTGTCACTCCAAAAGCAAACAAAATATTAGGCTCAGGGAAGACTGGAATGCAAAAGCATTCTGCAAATAGTGTAAAATAAGTCTGGGGAATATCCTCATATTTAACTGTTCCTTGGTCTGTTCAGCCTGTCTCCAAGCAGTCACGTCAAGAAGAGGAGCAGGGCCAGGTGGTGGACGTGGATTGAAATGTCCATGGGATGGAACACTGAGAAGCCAGAAGCTGTGGCAAACAAGGGAGAACAGGGCAGAGATACAAAAATAGGTTGTGCTAAAAGAAAGGTGATTCAAGCGTGTCTGTCTTCACCTCTAGGCCAATCCGTATGAATACGAAGTGAGAGGTGACAAATTTAAACCTGATGAAGGAAAATCAGGCTTTAAACATCTCAGTTAAGATGCTATTGAAAGCAGAAGGTTGCCTGTGAAACTCCATGCCACAATGTGTGACTGAAGTCAAGATCTCACCTTGACTTAAAAAATTGACGTTTATGTTAAGAAAGAGAGGCGTTCCATGTGCTACGTAAAGGGTTATGTGCAGAAGGATCTATGGATCTATAACTGAGCATACAAACAATTTCTGCCCGACAGAGGTTTAGAAGGCATTTTATCACTGGACAAGTTGTTTCATTACAGAACTTGTAGCATCATCCACCAAATCTCTTGGCGTTGGCCATTAGCAGAGAGTGCCAGCAGGCAGACAGACCATTGCTCCTCCTGAGATGACTCCAGCGCTCTCTTACACATGGCAAATGGGAGATGTCTGCTAGCTGAAAATCTGGAAGCCTGTGTGGTATCTGATACCTGTCGTTCTTTTGGTGTCTTAATGACTGTTTAATTCAGTTAACAAGATCCTTTTATCTTAAGGCCTCTCCCTCTCCATGGAAAAACTGAAGTCACAATACAGAGGCAGCAGGGCTGAGAGAAAGCTGAACACTGGCTGTGGTGTATGTAGGGCACCATATGACTTCGATCTGGCCCTGCGCTTGCAGGGATTGTCTTCACTGTTCCAAAATTATCATCTATTTGGGGGTGACCAGGCAAAGATTGCTACTAATGTTTAGGCTTGATTGAGTAATGCAAATACCAGCTTCCAGAAAGGTAAAATAAAATAAAACTGTTTCACCAGCTTTCCTCCCTACAGTAGGTCTGGTTTAATATAATAAATGGCATTCTGTTTAGTTGCCTGTTGTGTGTCTAAATGGTATGGATGCTGGTTTTGTGCTTTTCTTCCCAACAGTGGAGGTGCAAAACTTACGTGTGTGAAAAAGAAATTCTCTCCTATTTGCTGCACTTCAGAAGCTAGATCTTTAAGGAAAACCCGCTGGGCAGCTGAAGACTCATGAGAAAAAAAATAAGAAAGTTGGGAACCTCAAATTCTAGGTCATCCCTTTTTACAGGGGACTGAAGGTGTTGGCAGCATAAGCGTGGGGCGAGAAGGGAGGAGGTGTGGGCTGCGTATGACAGCAGTGCAAGTGATTTTTATGAACAGGGAGGTTTCTACACAAAATCACATTGGGAATATCCCACCAATAGTCCATCCCTCCGCTGCCTCCACTTGCGTTAGTGGGAGGGATTTGAAGTTCAGGCAATGCGTGGCTGAGCTCTCATTAGTGACCAGGGACATTTAGTTCACAATGTGTAAGGCAGACAGGGAGAGGCAGATGGCTTTGAATGTGGGATTTACATAGTAATGAGATTCAGGTCACCATAGCTGTCTTTTTCACTCTGCATTTTGTCTAGGTGTCGAGTAGTGTGCAGGGATGACGGAATGGGGAGGAAAGGAGGAAAATTAACCCCTTGTTCCTACGGAGACATTGGTGTTAGAATAAAATGTTTGTCACGATAGGCTAAAGAACAAACGGTGAGCTATGAGAACAACAAACACAGATGAAGCTAGAAGGGCTAAGGGTAGCCACTTTTTAAGTTTCTGTCATGTTTTCTGTGGGAATGGCACAAAGCATCCTAGCCTTAAAATCACTGAATTTCCTGTAATTTTTATCTTCTGCATTGCTGTTTTGAGAAAGATAGTTTTGAGCTTTTATCATTACCAGTCAACCCAAAATTGGGGAAGTTTGCTGACTGAAGATGGGACATGTATTCTTATTACAGGGCCTTTGCTTGTTTCCTTGGAAAAAGTTACCCATTTTGCTTGCTTTCTTGGCTAAAGACTTGTCTTCACATGACTATGTAATGGCATGATTAAAACGTAATATTTTCCACTGCAATTGGTAATCCTTAGTATGATCTCACTAGTGTCAGATCTTATCCTGATGACAGATGGGAAACTGGGAACCATGGGCCCTATTTCCAGCTCTGGATGGTGGCACTTGATTTTCTCAATAGTCAACCCCAGGCATTCCTAAAATATGCATCATGGCCTGAGAAATCCCAAGGCTATTTTTTAAATTATGAAAGTTTTAAAGCAATGCATGTTTCTTTCTTTTGTCTTCTGCTTTTTTTTTTTTCCTTGTTTTTTTATACTTAGAGGAGCATGGGAAAGTAAGTTTTTCTTCATGTTGTACATTACCTGACTGCAGAAGCTGGGGCTTTAGAAGAAAGTGTTGCAAGACCTGCAATAGGAGCAGGAGAGAAGCCTTAGGTGATCCGTGTGTAAATTAGGAACTGTGGCACTTAACTGCATGTGGAAGACTGGGCTGAGGTGGGGAAAGTAAGCAAGGTATTTGTGTGTGGAGGTGGGTTTTATATAAGGGTTTCAGTGTTTGCAAGACACTTTTGATTCTTCCAAACAGAAGTTGCTTCTGCAATGCAAAGCATTTGGGGCGCGAAGAGGAGGATTCATCTTGTCTCACCTTGGTCACTAGTGTTCAGGGAGCTTGTCTAGCCTCAGTGAAGAAAGGTTCAAACCATCCCAAGACAGGGGGACAAGTCCCCCATAGGGGTGGTGTGTGTCTCTCCACTGACCGCACACTCTGCATGGTACCTAGCTAAGATTTAACACCAGCTTCTACCTGGCTGAAAGGTGAAATGACCCTCACCTTAAGGTCCTGGGGAAGTCTGAGCTGAGACTGGTCTTGCTTATTCGAGTGTCTCCTGTATGCCCCAGCTGGGGATCTGGGATCCTCCTGGAGAGCAGAAGCAAAGCTTTTATCTTGTCGTCTCCTTCCTCAGCAGGGCTAACTCTGAAATTCACTGAGCAGAAGAGCTTCAGTGGGTATCTCCTGAAGCCAGTAGTAAATGTATAGTGGGAGTGCCTCCACATTTTGGCTGTTTGGGCTGGAAGGGAAGAGGAAATCTAATCAGGTGCCTGGGACAGACTGGGAAGTGAATGGTTCTTGGCTACTTCCTCCTGAGGAAAAGGCTTAGGTCTAATAGATCTAATGACATTATTTCTCTGGTTTGTGATTACATCCGTTTGTTTAAAAAGTCAGACAACCCTTTTATACCAGTCCTGTAATGATTGTTTAATGTCTGGCTGTTTGCGAAGCCTGCCGAGCTGCATGAACGGAGGATGCTTCCCGAGAGCCTCGAGTGAGGCCCTTAACTGGGTGGCCTTGAATGCCCAATGTTTGTTTTGTGCTTCATTTTCCTACCTGGTGAATGAAAGTAACACTAGTTCTCTCCTTTACAAACTGCTGCGAAACGTGGGACTGTCTCTGGGTGAAATGCTGCCGGAGGACTCTTCTGCAAGGATAAATATTCACCGACTCATGTTTGGTTAGCAGACACTGCTGGTGGTGAGTGGGGCTCTCAGCTTTGTAGGAGCAATGACACTTGTTGGCAGAAGGCAGCTTCATGAGCCTCTCTACACAGCTGAGCGGATCTGCTCCCCTTACTGATATTTTCTAACCTCTTCCTTTGCAGAGCCCCTGAAATCATCCTCGGTTTACCATTTTGTGAAGCAATCGATATGTGGTCATTGGGATGTGTCATTGCCGAGCTGTTCTTGGGCTGGCCGTTGTACCCGGGAGCTTCGGAGTATGATCAGGTGGGTACGGATATTGCCCTGGATGCTGGTGAGAGCACAGCTGTTTTTCCCTTCTCTTGTCAGAGTAAGCAGATGCCAACTTTTTCTGTTTTGCTAACAGGGGATATATGATTCTTATCCTCCCAAGTCAACTTTTTCATTATCCACCTGCGGTATTTATTCTAAGTAGGCAGTGTGCTGTTTGGTACGCTGGCTTTTAAGACCTGACTGCCTAAGTAAAGTCTCAATCAAGAGTCAATCCTGCTGTTGACCGGAGAGCTCTGTACGTGTCTCTCCTCACTGAGCAGAGCAGACACCCTTTCTCTGCTGTAACAGCAGGTGTTGAAATCAAGGTTTGTTTGTTAGAAGAATCTGCATGAACTCTACTGCATTTCATAATCCCTTTTACGAGGGTACATATTAAAAGCAATGACAAGAAGGAGAATGTTCACAGTGGTGTATGTTTTCAGTTAATAGAAGTTGTTGTGCTTCTCTCCCTATAGGCTTTTATGCTCCTTTTGTAGTCCTTAAACAGATAGCGCTGCAGCTGCTAGAGCCAGGGCTGCAGAATGCTTTCCATTCCCATAATCTTGTTCGGGGTGATCTTAGCTGTCTGCAAATGTGGCCTGAAAAGGGTCTTTTTCCTTACAGAAAATTAAAAAAAAAAAAAAAGGGGGGGCAAGGTAATGAATAAGTAAATTTTTCCATATATGGAAATGTTTCTTTGACTCTTATTTTGTAAATAGTATTTTTTGGAATTTTAAAGGTGAAATTTGGCAGGGGAAATAATCAGTGATGAAGAGCAGGGCCGTTAGTGATTCCAAAGGAAATCAGATGTAGCTGAAAAACTTACAAGCATTTGACAATCACATACCAAGCATGAAGAGTAGATTTCTTTCTCCTCCCCCCAAAAGCCATAAAACACACAGCTGAAAAAGAAATCACCATGCATACCTGCCCAGCTTAACTGCCCAGCGAAAAGCTTTCTCCAGTGAAGTGTGGTGAGGGCTCCTGGGGAACTGGGAGAGGGGCAGGGACTGGTCCTGGCCTCTCACCGCAGCCCATGGCATCCTGCAGCACTGGCACCAGTCTGTGGGCAGGATCCTGGTGCTTCTTAGGTGCGCGGGCTCCAATCAACCTAAGGGGCTGCAAAGGCAAGTAAAGCATGCTCAGTGAACCGGTTTCCGAGTGCTTGGAAGTCTTTGAAACCACAGCTGCTTTTTATGGCTTTATTTTTTTTTACCCCTCTCTGTCTCTTCTCTGAAAAACACTTTCCATTCTTCCCTAGAATATTCTAGAGTAGATGACTATTTTTAGTAGTTTTGCAGAGTTTGCAGCAATTTTGCAGAGTAAAACATTAAGGAGTCAGAAGATGCCCAAAGTTAAGGTTTTGTGTGGCACCCTAGATGTGTGAGATCAGTCTCTAATTGTGTAAACACAGACCCTTTCTCCTTTGAATAAATAAATTAAAGTCTGTGATCCTGGAAACGCATGTTTAGCATCTTTTAGCTGTGTGAGTGCCAGCAAGGTCATACTCGTGGAAGTAACCCAAATAATGAATGAAGTCATGTAGGCAAGAGAGATGAAGTACTTTACATACCATGAGGGTGTCAGTTCATTTGAGTGTGTATTTCATCTAAGTTCAAAGATGGTCACTTCATAGTTCTCTGTTTTGAAGTTCAAACTCTTCCTAGAAAAGGATGTGCACTCAGCTGGGGGAAAAAACAGCAAAAGTTAGAGCGCAAATATCAAATTGTTGAAATTACCTCCTGGAGAGGAGAGCATGACATGAAAAGGTGCAAAGCAGTGAAATACTCCATTGAAATCTCTGTGTGGGTCTTCCTCTTTGACCTCTAAAACCTAGGGATTTTCTTCCCTTTATCCTTAGGTTTTTTTGGAGCATACCGTAAGGATGAGTTTCCAGCAATGTACCTGATAAATGGAGGGATGCCGTACAGGAATTCTCTTGCCTCTCATTCCTTGCACTGGGATTTTTTTCTTTTTGGGAAGTTTAATTGTGTGCTACATGTTCTCTTTCTTTCTTTGTTCTATTGTTTTAAATGCCTCCTGCCCTCCTTCAAGGAAGACCTCCAGAGATCTTCACAGGCCTGAACAGTGACCTCTCATCCTTCTCTTACAGATTCGCTATATTTCACAGACGCAGGGCTTACCAGCAGAATATTTGTTAAGTGCAGGGACAAAGACTACGAGGTTTTTCAACAGGGATACAGATTCACCATATCCTTTGTGGAGGCTGAAGGTAGGAAGACGTTCCCTTGTTTCTTTTACCTTGCAGTTGTTGGTTGGAAGTGAGGAGACATTCAGGTCACCTCAGAGCCTATGTCTCTGCTTTTTGCAATGCAGCACAGACATTGTGGTGGGTAAAACTGCCATCCCCCAAGTCTGCAGCCCTTAGCCCACCTGCTTGGCACTGCTTTGTGGGAAATTTAAGTCTGGAATTGACCTGGAAAGCTCCCTCTAAGTAGTCAATGAATTGATGTGTAGTTTAAATGAAACATGCCCTGGGCAGACTTTGCTCTAATGTCTAATGCACTGGGGGTCAAAAAAAAAAAAAAAAAAAGGAAAGCATTTTAATTCTGTCAATCAAAACCACTAGTAATGCAAGTGAGCACCGAGTCTCTTGTACCAGCGTGTTTGGCTGCATTCAGTCTCCAAGGAGAGAGGGCAGTGGGCTTCTGGCTGTGAGGATGGGATTCTGAGCTTCGTGCTGGAGTGGGTGTAAGAGACCTTTGGGACTCCCACCATGGTTGGGAGGATCCTCTGAAGAGAAAAAGAAGAGATAAACCACCTTGTGACACAAAAGCTGTCATATAACCGTAGCGGAAATAGCGTCAATATTATCTGGTCAGGCAAGAGAGACACGGTGGTCTCTGGTGAGGGCAGGATAAGAGACAAGCTGGAAGTGGCACATAACCTGCAGCTGTTTGCAGGGCAGTTCTGGTCAATGCCTGTCTCCTGTTTTGAGCAGACGCCAGATGATCATGAGGCAGAGACGGGGATTAAGTCGAAGGAAGCAAGAAAGTATATTTTCAACTGTTTGGATGATATGGCACAGGTAAGAGCATTGGTGAGTAACCAGCAAGACTGCCTCACGTGCTTTTGGGCAGTGCAAACAAAGGGGAGCTACATGATTTCTCTGTGTACCCTATTCTTGTGCTATCTCCTGAGAAATACCAGGATTATGCCTACCAACTCAGCTCGTTGTAGGGGAAACTGCACATAGGGGCATGTGGGTTTGACATACTGTAGTAAAGCAGCCTTGGAAAATGGCTGAGTCACATCTCTGAGTGTTGAAATCCTGCATTTTCTCGTCTCCCCAGTGCTCCTCTATGTGACCACTGTCAAGTCACTTACTTCTCTGTGCTTTAATATTTCCACTTGCAAAATGGTTGACATTGGAAGTAATCACCATGGCCATAGTCGAGCGTGCTCTCTGTAAAACATGGCTATCTGCGGGAACGGGGAGTACTAATTCACTGTGTCAAGTCTGTCTGTTTGTGAAAGTTAATTCCAGCATAACCACTCCTGTGACTGGAGTTTGTGCTAGCAAACAAACCAGTGCGCAAAACTCGCACAACACTAGTGCACAACACTAGCACAAAACTGGAATTTGTGCTAGCAAAGTCTAGACATTGTAGCATTCACAAGGAAACATGCAAAAATGAAGGACTGAGATCAGGGAAGACTGTATAGATGGATGGAATAACATAACTGTTTTTTTTTCCTGGCATCTGATGTGTGAATGGGATATTTCTTATAAACCTACTGATAATTTTTATTTATATATATTTTTGCTCACAGGACACATAGTTAAGTATTTGATAGCACAGTGCTTTATATGATAAATATACTGATTATTAGAGCTGCCTGCTGCCACTTGGAAGATGTTCATCTTCAGTGGAGGGTGACTAAGTGTTTCATTAGCCATTGACCCAGGTGAGCTGAACACTTAACAGTCTGTCTAGAGATCTGACGTGCACAAGCCAGATGACTATCCACCATGGAGTCTGCCATGTGGCTTCAGCAACTACCCCTTTAGACAGGGAGGCTTGCAGGGCATGTGCTCCAACAAGGAGTAAACACAGTTTGCTGGAGACCTAACCATCTAAAGTGCTCACCCTTGTCCTTTCTCCTTTAGGTGAACATGACAACAGACTTGGAAGGAAGTGATATGTTGGTGGAAAAGGCGGACCGGCGGGAGTTTATAGATCTGTTAAAGAAGATGTTGACGATAGATGCAGATAAGAGGATAACACCCATTGAAACTCTGAACCACCCTTTCGTCACCATGACGCACTTGCTCGATTTCCCTCACAGCACACAGTACGTGGCTTTCGTTTCCATTGGGTTTTGCATTGAGGGGTGAAGAGGGGAGCTGGTTATGGTGGAGACCAAATGTATCTGGGGCATTATTAAGATGATTAAGCCTTAAGTTTTAATATTTTTCTGGTTAAAAAAAAAAAAAAAGAGGATTGCCAACTCTTAAGGTTGCAAGAATTGTATTGTAGGTGCTTGGTATTTAAAACCCTGCAGAGTGCAGAGTGTGCTACATTCATTATGTAAATATTCAATAATTACATATGTTTCCATTAAAATGCAGAAGAAATTATGCAATTAGTGCTGCAAGTATCAGTATATCTCAAAGTAATATCGTCCTGATTGTTACTGCAGTAATCAACCTTATCTGCAGTGGGGAGCCAACCCTTCCTCCCAGAACCTTCCCGTCTTGCAGGGGTCAATTTGGGGCTGTTTGCTTTTAAGTGAAGAGCTTTTTCTGCAGCAAGCTCGTTTATAGACACAGGCAATAGGACAAGGCATTCAGCTTTGTTGTCTTCTGCTTGTGTAACCTTAAACACCACGCTCTGACCTCAGCTAACACATTTGTGGAGTGGAGATGGACTCCACTGCCCGATGAAGATGTGAAGAAGTGCCATGCCTTCAAACCTGACTCCCCCTTCTAAGGCTGCGTCACAGAGCACAGCAGCCTGAAACGCAAGAAATCTACACCCAGCACATGGCTCTTGTCCCCTGGGTGGTTCACGTAGGGCCACCAGGCTTCTCAAGTGCAAGTGAAGGCAGACAGGTAGTGGGAGTTTTCCAAAGCCTCCAGTACACCCAGCTTTGAACATCCTGCTCTGCAGTGCTTTGCAGCTCAAGGTGCTTTTGCAGGCTGTCCCTTCACCTCATCAGCAGAACAGAGTTAACCGGCACAGCACTGTGCTTCATTGGGTGTCATGTGCATGGGTGCTTAAAGGCTGTGAGGGAGGTCAGGTATGAAAATAAAGGGGGCTGCTTAAAAAGCCAAAGAGTATGTTTGTGTGGGTGCTGCAGAGCAACAGGTTACTGTGTCACCTCTCCTGCCTGTATGTGTGCTCTTACCTGTGGTATTTCAAGTTAATTTAAGGTAGTTTTCCCTCTGTAAAGGAGCTGTAGCTGCCTTTGTATTACATTTATCACAAGATAAGAGCAGCTGCTTACCGGAAGGTAGTGAGTGCACAATCTGTGTAGATCCAGACTTACCCTGCACAGACATCTTTGAGCATTGGTACGGATAAGTAAAATGTAAATGATAAATGTAATGAAAACAAGATGGGAAGTTGTTGTGCTAAACAGAGAGAAAGTGAGTTCAATATAAAAACATTCATAAATTTAAAAAATTACTATTTTCTAACAGTATTAGTGTCATATACTGAAGTATTTTAATTTGTAGCAGTCCTTCCTGTGTAAGATAGCAGAGATTTGTGGCATGATACATTGCCATCAAAAATCTTTGTGCTAACGCAACAGACCATAATTGCATCTTCATTTTTGAAGTGCTCACTTGTGGCTGCTCAGGCAAAGCCTCAGAAAGGTTGAAAATATCATTGGGGCCAACAGCAGTGAGAATTCTACCCGAGTAAAAAATTCAGCATCAGGTCTTTGAATATTAAATGCTATGCCAGCCGGGTGCATAACCCTGTGCAGCCCCTCTGCCTTGGAAGCAGTGATTGGTAAAGAGAGCAACAAGCTGTAACCAGCATGGCAGGTTGATGGAAATTTTGCCTGTGATTGCCTGTGGTTTTGAGAACAGAAACTTCAAAGCCCCGAGAGATGCAGGGAGTTGTAATCTCTCTTGAAAGTAAATCAGGCATCAGAGAAAGTGAAAATATATGGAAGATGTACCTTCTGAAAGGAATCTCTGCTGTGGCATGCTTCAGAGAGGCTGCAAGTTTGAGCAGCCCAAGAGGGGCTGTTCTGCTTACTTCCAAGCAAACAGCAAAACAAGTTTAGCTCTCTCTTTCGGTATTTAACTGCCTGGATCTTAAATTGTTGGGCACTCCTCAGTCTTTCTGTCCTGTTTTGCTCTGTCCCTGCCTTCTTTTTTTTTTTTTCCTTTTTTTGTAAAGACAGAGAACACAGTATTACATTAGTAGAGATTATAACTTGTTATATAAAATTGTTTGGTAACACACAGAGCTTACCGTGTACAGAAAATAAACTCTTTCCAGTGCTTTCTGCTTTTTGGAGGGAGAATTATATTCATACCTGACTGGGGAAAAGGCAATCCAATAGCCTTCTCTATTCATTTGGTAAACATGTGTGATTTTTCTGCATGTTCTGCGACTTATTTCATAGGTATTTCATAAGTATTTCATAGATATTTCATAGGTATTTCGTAGGTATTTCATAGTTCTTTAAATGAATGCACATAATGCACAACTATGCACAGTGTCCTGAGCCTGTCTTGTCTGCAGGTATTTATGGCACAGATCCAGTTATCAAGATATTACCTGTAAGAGAAGAAAGATGACCATGTGAGTAAGAGACAAGACAGGGATAAAAAGATCTAGGTCCTCTTCCTGACCAACCCTAGGGATCACATGAGCTTGTTTCTTTTAAAGGAACATTTTGTTTCTTAAAAATTATGTGAGGATGTGTTCACCTCTCCTACCTCTAACAGCTTAGATCATTAACAAAAGAAATTATGCATACAGCTGATTTTTTACAGCTACAGCTGATTTTCACTGCTTGGATTTTCTATTTTTCTGGGTTGGGATAATGGAAATTAAATAACTACCTTTATACTTTTCTGAGTTGTGTTTCGATTCGGAGGTCACATTTGTAAAAACAGTTATTGTGGAAAAAATATGGAAAGCCTGTACTGTTTTTTAGACCTTGGAAAAAAAAGATTTCATTAAAAAGGCAGTTTTGCACAAGATGGCTATATTATTACCTCTTAAACCTCTGTATGCTTTGGTATCCCAATTATAAAAATGAAATACCAGCAGTTTCATGTACCAGACACCTAGAGTGCTCTAGCAAAGCAGAGAGTATTTCATCTCCTTTACTGGGGATACAAAATATGATACTTCTCAAAATTTCCATTGCTATATCAATAACACTTAAAGGAAGGTCTGTGTAGAGGAAGAGGCTGTAATCTTTCCCCCCAGAGATCCAATTCTCAGTCTGAGATAACCTCAGAACTTGATTCCCTTGGGGTGTTGATGAATCTGATTTGGCATAACCTTTTGCGATAGGAGTCGTCCCATTGACTGCAAGAGGACAGCTCATGCGCTTTAAGATAAGCATCTGCGGAAGTGTTTAGCCAGACAGGGGCAATGTTTTGACTGCTTGGCTGAACTCAGCTCTCAGTGAATTACTTTTGAAAAGGAACAAGTAAGAATTTTCAGGGGTCTCAGTGACCCAGAACAGTAAAATTCTTTGTTGCAAAAGACTTGTGAAACTACCTTTAGGCTTACACTGAGGCAGAAAGCATGAGTTGTCTTTTCCTCTCAGGCTCAATCATCAGAAAAAAATAGTACCTGTCTTTCTTTCTTGCTCTCAGTTTCTTTCAGTCTTTTAAAATAGCCACTTTTATTTCTTGCCCTGCCACCTAAAGAGCAACCAATTTGCTTGCTTTTTATGACTTAGATTGCAGTGCTCAGGCCCATGGGGGCACCCAGGAGTCCCAGAGCAGCCGCTGTCATCTTGACACCCATTTGGCCCTCTTCAGTACAAGGTTAATCTGACTCTCACTGGTTAAGAGAGAGCTACATAAAACAGCAAAGGGCTTTAAGAGCCTAGAAAGTGCCAAGCCTGCTGTTGAGATCTAGTGCAGGGCCACTGTGATGAATTGTTACCTGTGCTGGTCAGTTGGTTGATCTTCTGTCTCTTTCTTGTCACCACTTTCCTTACACAGTGTCAAGTCCTGCTTCCAGAACATGGAGATTTGCAAGCGGCGGGTGAATATGTATGACACAGTGAACCAGAGCAAGACGCCATTTATCACCCATGTAGCCCCAAGCACATCGACCAACTTGACCATGACTTTTAACAACCAACTGAACACAGTCCACAACCAGGTCAGTCAGAAGCAGACAATGCTTAAAACATTTACGTCAGTAGGGTCTAGAAGATGAAAAGCAAAGTAGCATCCCATTTAACATGCCTGCAAAAAGATGGTGCTTTTTTACTCTCTTTCTTCCACTCTTCCTCATTCTCTTTTCTTCAGGCAAGCAGTAATCTTGCGACATTTTGTGTGACGGTGAAATGTTGCCCTCAGTGTTTATGTTGTTGTTGGGGGTGATAAATCCTGCTTACTTGCGAAGTTGCTATGGAGAAAAGCTCATTAGTCCCTTAATGCAGCAAGCAGGACTGTGCTCCCTGGGTCAGGCAGAAGTATTTCTGATCTTACAGCACTTTTTCAAATTGGCATTGAAGTAAAAATAATTTAAACCCTTCTGTAACAGAGGCAACACTGTAACCAATCAACAGGAAAGAAGAGTTTAGTGGTAATGTTTATTCTTACCTCATTGGTTTTACTCCAGGTGCCGCAGTTGATGTGGGGACCCTGTGCATGTACCCCCGCTCCGAACACATTGCACTCTACATTGGGGGGCTCTGGCTTTGTAATTATGCTTTGGGCTCTTGTTTTAGTTTTACATGGCCCAGTGTTGGGGGTGCTGGGTTGACAAATGCTATGTAACTAGCAGGCTAAGTTGTCTCCTGCAGTACTGTATTACAACAGTGAAAGGAACCTCTCCAGGGACACCGCTCTGGGAGACTGAAACTGAAGAAATAGCTACTGTCTTTTAAGCCTTTTGGGAACAGGCTGCTCAAGATTCACTCATAGAGATTGCAGGTGGCATGGCGAAAATGGTGCTTGGAAAGCAAGGGAGCTAAAGGAGTCTGTGCAGATGCACAGGGTGTTCCTGTGTCACTCAGAAAACCAGACTTCATGACTCAGTTCTCAATACATGTGATCACAGAAGGTCTTTTGGAACAATTAATTAAGCAGATGCAGTCAGAAATAGGTCATGGCTTGGTGTGATAGGGTATTAGTTACAAACACTGGTTCCCTTTCTTGGCTGTTTCTGAGATGCTGTCTAAAGAAATGCATGCTACATGCACCCTTAGGCCCCAGCTGCAGGGCAGAGACACCATTTGTACCACAGTTACTAGTAGGAAATGCAGACTTGGTTTCGTTTCCTCACAACTCACGTGATGGTAAGATCAGTTGTTGGATGGGGAGGTCTGTGGCAATCTCTGAATTCCCGTAAGGGGTGTGTGTTGTGAGCAGAACTGGTATCTCCAGTGTTCCTAGAAGAAGTGGTAGAAACATTTCCAGGAAGGGTGTTTTAATTTGAACAAGTGCTAAACCATTGACCATTCTCTTCAACATACCACTCTTCTTGGCTCTCTGATGCTCCCTGTCTCTGCAAAATACCTGGGGATTGTCTCCTTCCAGTTAAGACTCCTGAGGTTAGGAGTGTGGGAGCTGTTGTTGCTACTCGGTGTGTTCCACAGGGCAACAGGTTGCACTTCTCTGCCTCTGCACTGAGAGGGGAGGAGGAGGAAGAAATGTTTTGCCATCACATCCCTCATGGCTGTGGTTGTGGCTGTGGCAGTTGCAGCCTGGGTACCCTTCCTGGGCAACCAGGGCAGCATGAAATGCTGAACCTCCTGCCTCCTGCAGCTGTAATCAAAGCCTCATCCTCAGTTCATATGTTCACCATGAGAAAGTGTTGTCTCACCTGTCTCCAGCAGTGATGCTGGTGCGTTTGGATAGAGGGGAAAGGTGGGCTCTGGTCTGGTAGAGCCTAGTTGCCTAAACATGAATGGTAAGGGCATATTTTTGTAGAGCAGAACTGTTTAGGAGTTGTTTCTCTGCAACTGTTACAGACTCAGTCCAAATAAAACAAGTCACCCTCACATTTCTAGATGTTTTGCAGAACACTGGTCTGATTTTTGTGGCTTTGCAACATCCTCTGCTGGAGTTTCTGCTCTGAGAGATTTTTAAGTCAAGCCAGGCAAAGTTTGGACTTTGAAAGTATCATTATATCTACTGTTATGCCTTCTGGTTCTTTTGAATTCAAAACATAATTCAAGGGGCGTGTACCAGCTTAGATAACAAGGCAGAGAAAAGGCTGGAATGAGTCTTCCCTCTTAGTGTCCAGTTTCACAGGGCATGGAGGTGCTAAGTGTCTTTTACTTGAGAAATGTGAGCTTCTTCTAAAGCTGTGGGCATGATGAGAGAACAACATGATTTGCAGATAGTAGCATTTTCATCATGCTGCAAATCAGATCCAGTTGAGCGATAAATGGGGCTACAGTTCTGCTTTGGAGAATGTGCTACATCTCTGAGCAGTACACAGCAGCACTGCATGGACAGAGGTCCTGCAGCACGTTACAGCTACAGTTACTCAGGCAGATCATGCTCCTTTCCCCATTATTGTCCTCTCCTCTGTGCTCCTCAGTGTCCTACTCCACCCCTTCTTTGGTTTCAGTTTGCTGGTTTGTTTTGTTTTTTCTTTTACTTTGTCTTAACACTAGTTTACTTTTTTATTTTTGGATTTTGCTTCTTCCAGCGTACCCATCTCCCTCATTTTCTGTTTGTTTTTTGTTTAATTCCCGTCATTCCTTTAGACCACCAACCTGGCTCCCACCTCCTCCAGTGCCACTATTTCCTTAGCCAACCCCGAGGTCTCCATACTAAATTACCAATCTGCACTCTACCAGCCTTCAGCGGCATCCATGGCTGCGGTGGCCCAGCGGAGCATGCCTCTGCAGACAGGAACAGCGCAGATCTGTGCCCGGCCCGACCCCTTCCAGCAAGCTCTCATCGTCTGCCCACCAGGCTTCCAAGGTAAGTAACAGCCTTGCCAGGTCTGGGCCAGTCGCTGTTCCCTCCCCATCTCTGTTTCATCTAGCACTTGTTGGAAACACGCTTCTTTAGTGCAGATTATATGGTAGAAAAATTGCTGGCCTAGTAAATAAGAGCAATGAGGTTGCTGCAGATGGAAATGTTTGCCACAGTGGAGGATCTTGCAAGCACCTCCAACGTCATGGGTTGGAGTTGGCTGGTCTAAAACAATGGGACAGACACTGAGAAGGGGCTAGGGGAGAACATGTGATACTTGTTGTCCTCTGCCCTGAGCAGAAAGTTTGAGGCTCTTCCACTTGACTTTGGTAAACTTGAAAATTTACCCCACAACAACGATAAATTAGTACATAAATAACGAGTTCATCACTTCTCAGGGATTCAGTTGTTAAAAGGGGGATGAACTCAGGAGGTTAATGCAGCAGGGAGTGTGGTGCTGGTGGAGATTAAGGGTTGCCCTCAAACAGATACTCGTGACTGTTTATGAGTACAATTCAGCTCCAGCCCTGCTGCCAACAGCTCTGCCTTTGTGTACCAGTGGCAGGTACCATTGTCAAACAACTTGGGTGATGATCAGATTTAGCCCCTTGTAGTTTTCTTGACTTTACATGCTGTAGCAATTTGGAAAAACTAGCCAGGTATTGTAGGAAGTGGTCTAAATAGACCTTGGTTCAGCTGCTGCAAGTTCTGCTCTTCACTTCTACAAGTCTGTGTGTGCAGCAGTCTCTGGGCACTTTTTAAATGTTCTGCGAGATTATCAAAGCTCTTTTGAACTAGGGGAGTTGAGCTAGACCTCTTCTACATAGTGAAAATGCATCTCAAGGGTTTGACTTCAGAAATGTACTGCTAGAAGAGGTAAACTAACATCTTCTACCTGCTGTCTTCAGAAAGGTCTAAAGCAGAGGAGGTAGCACCAGCTGTGCCACACACTGAGGTGAAGGGGGAAGCTTCCTCCAGCGCAGTTAGGCTAAAAAATGGCTGAGTCAGATAAGGGTAGAGTTTGGGGTGTGCTAGATTACATGGTGAAATCTGAGCCTTTTGAATATGAGTCCTGCGAAGCTGTGCAAGAGAAAATCACCTATCTCTGACAAGGCTGAGGGAATATGGAGTTCTGGCTTCCTGTCTCACTGTCCCACTTCAGTCTAAAGAGAGTATTCTTACATAGCAATGGGTTTTGGCTGGCAAGGACCATTTTCTGTTGTCAAACCAGAGAATATAGGGGAAGAAAAGCCATTCCCTCCCCTCTCTTCTCCCTGTGCACATTGTATTGAGATGGTTCCCACAGATTCGAGGTACCATAAAAAAATGAACTCAGTTAATACCTTAACTTCTTTGTAAATGTCTTTTCTGCACCCTTATGCATGTATCATGTTTATTAACATTTATCAAAGATGGGCTGGGTTGGAATATGTGGGATTCTGAGAGCCCAACTTTTTGGAGGGACTGAACACTGCAATTTAAGTGGACATCAGCGAGTGCCTGTAGGCACCTCTGAAAACCAAACCCCCATTCCTAGCGGTGCTGTTGATGGCTAATGCTGTACCTTCTGTGCCGGTGGAACAGGGTTACAAGCCTCCCCTTCGAAGCATGCTGGGTATTCAGTTCGGATGGAGAATGCTGTTCCTATTGTCACTCAGGCTCCTGGGGCCCAGCCTCTTCAGATCCAGCCAGGACTCCTCGCACAGGTAAGGAGCTCTGAAGGCTATGACGCCTATGTCAGAGTTGCAAAAGTCTCTGGGAAGACTTCTTTCCTTCTGCTGCTCCACTGGAATCAGTGGGAAGCCTCAGGGAAAGCTGTGTCAGGCTCTGCTGATAAGGAACCAGTAATAAGCTTCTTGCATCCTCCTGAACTCACAGTCTAAGTGGTAGTTTGTGGCCAGGAGTTCCATTGGTGAATTGCATGCTGTGATAAATATCTTTCACGCTTTAAGTTTGCACCCTTCTGTTTTATGAGCTGCCCCCCTGTTTTTAAGTTATGAGAGAGATGTAGGGAGCAAAGGCAAGGGCCCCACAGCTAAGCAGCTCTCCTTGTCAGCAGCATTTGTTGGCACACTTCTCTGAAATGTGCTCACAGAAAAAGCATGGTTCCTCCCAGGAAAATACCCAAACAGGACTGAGTACCACTGATCACATGCACGTCCTCAAGGGGAACCCCCGGTCCTCAAAAAGGAGGAGCACTTCATTCATTTAGTGAATCTGCCCTACTGGTTTTCAGCTGGTGCCATGGTACCTCAGCCAATATCAAGTATGTTTCTGGCAGCAAAAAAAAAAGCGCCTAGTATACTTATTATGAAGTTGTACAGCCTGGAAGAAATGACCTACAAGTCAAAAATGCATGCCTCTGACTCAGGATTGGTTGATCTGCCATGCCTTCATTAATGCCAATGTGATCATACACAGTCAGGTACCAGCAGACTTCAGGGTTTCTGCCTGTGTAAGCCTCTTGGTGCAATTGCCTTTCTTTGACAGCTGCCAAGCGTGCTTATCTGGTAAAGACAGATTGAAAAACAACTTGCAGCCTGCATGATTTCCATTAGCTAATGTGTCTTGCCCCTTCCCCATAGCAGAGTCTCTGTTAGAGGGCTGTCTGAAACGTGGAATCTGTCTCTGTCGCAGCCTGTCGTAACAACCTACTTGGGCTACCCCACCACTCTTGTTTGGTAGGAAAGGAGAGCCCAAGAGGCAGGGGAAACAAAAGCAATTGCAAAGCGAGAAGCAGGCTGTGCAGGCACAGTTGCAAGCACCTATTGCTTGCACAAGGAGTCAGCCAAGGCGGTGGGTGAAGGAAGTGACAGAGCTTTGCATGCCCCTGCCATTCTGTCAGGCCTCCCAACGTGGAGCTTGAAGGGGTGAGGGTAGAGTCTGAAGCATCTCAGAGGCAGCAGGATCCTGAAAGATCTTGGGACCTCCAGTCCCTTCTTTCTTCTCAAAGTGGCCTTTTTGGGGTCACCACGCAGCATGTGTGCGGGAGGGAGTGTTCAGGAGGACTAAAAAATTGCTGTGCTGCTCCTGCTACATGAACTCCCATTTCATGGTCTGCCCCTCTCGTATTTTCTACTGACATTTTGTTCGCTGTCACTTCCACAAGGGAATTTAAGCTGTTTCTGAGAAACACTCCTCACTTGCAGATATTTAATTTTTGATTTAATAAAAGAGAGGCAGTCTGCCTGTTGATATATGTTTGTCTCACGTGATGAGAAATGCTAGCTGCCGCTCTGATGGCAAGACGCTCTGATTGATGCTGGTGGCATCTGGTGTCCGCAGGCCTTGCTCGGTTCAGGCTGAGCAGCTGGTCTGATAAACAAATCTGTACCCAATTCCAGTTTCCTGAATGGAAAAACACAGCTTCTTTGTAATGCATTGTAGTCACATCTGATCTCCAAGCGGCTGTTTGTCTCTCTTTTAGCAGAGAGCTATTCCTCTCATGCACAGCTGCTTATCTAATGCTCTTCAGACCGGACTGTGCGATTGCTCCAACTACTGGAGGGACTGTCCCTAGCAGAGAGCAGGCATAGCACCTCCGGAGCCCACTTCTGTCTTTCCACCCCTTTTATTTGTCCGCCTGATGAGGCATGATGCTGCCCCTTGTGCTCCCAGCACTGCTTAGTGCCATTGGGCTTTCTCCCCTGCCCAGTGCACGGTGCAGGTCGCTGTGCTTGCCCGCATCGGGATGGCTGTAGCTGACAAAGCCTTACTGCATCCTAGTGCAGCCGGCATCCAGCTCTCCCTGTGTTTGGTACAAGACCAGCAGTCCCAGAGGAGGAACAGGTGAAGGAGCTCAAGGAGCTGGAGGGACCCTGGGCAGAGGCAGGGACAGATTTTGAGCATCATCTGTGGCAGCTGTGTGTCTGCAGCCTGTGGCGTGGAGCTAGACAGAGCAAGCAGGCTGCAAGATGAAGAGCCAGTGGCTAAAGTAACTTATTTGTAACTTTTCTGGGTCTATTTTCACTCTCTCAAGCACGTGTGGTCCACATACTGTGTGCATAGAGACCAGTGAAAGGAGACTGATCCTGTCTTTACTAATAGCTCTCTTGCAGCTTCGGATCGCAAAAGAGACAAAGCTGTACTGTTTTCTGGCACGCTTCCATGAGGTGACCCAGAACTGTCCCCTGTCCTTGAATAACATCCTGAATTCTTGATTTTCTCTCCTTTTAACTCCTTCCCAACAACACTTCTTCCCATGGAGGTCCCAACACCAGCTTTCAGAACAAACACGCTTATTCCATTAGTTGTTCTTGCTCTGCATCTGAAGCGGGAGCTCCATCACACTGGGGGACCCGCCACCTCCCGAGCACAGGGGCCAGCACAGTGCTCCGCCATGGCAGCACAATTTCACAGTAATGCAATAACTGAGGACAGGCTGCAGCTGCCGGCACAAGCCTCCCGTGTGTAAGCACAGCACACTGTGCTAGTGGATCAGCCTAGACAAGTCTTATCTGCAGATTAAATGATTCAGTGGTCCTTACCTAATAAGTGAGGAATTTGTGCCTGGACCCTGACACTGCATCTAAATTTATGCACTGCAGTCAGGGAAGGAGCTTAGATTTGTTCAGTTCTCTCCCTGAAAAGGGAGGAAGCAGTTTTCTCTGTGAGTAAATCACAGTCCCCTGGGACTGACTGCAACAGTAGTTTAGTCCTCTCTTTTAAATCAAGGCTGGGGAAAAAGGGAAAAAAAGAAAAGAAAAAGAAAAGCTTTTTTCCTCCCTGATCTTCTTGCATTTTTGCCTCCTCCTCCTACCTTCTCTGAGCAGCACCAGTCCAGGGTTGTGGCTCCTTAGATGAAGAGCTCTCAGGAACCCTGTGACTGTCCATCCTTTGCGGATGTTGCTGAGAGGCCTCACTGTAGCTTCATCTAAGTCAGCAAGATGTAAAATTAGTAGACAGTCAAATTTTGGAACAGAACTGGGAAAAAGGGTTGGGTTTTTTTGGCCAGGGGGTGTTTGGGTTTCTTACTTGGGGATAGGAGAGGATTGTGAGGATAGCTATTGTGATTCTTGTGAGAATGAAGACGGGGACAAAGGCATGCCGGGAAGAAGCCTCCCATTTTTAAAATTTAGCCTCCTTATTGCTGTGAGGTAACACAGCACGGGTCCAATATAGTGCTGCCGGCTAGGACTAAGGAGGGTTGTAGCTGGTACTCCTGCATTCCCCAGACCAAGCAATGAGAAACTGCTGGAGCTGCCTTCGGGCAGCACATAGCAAAGAAAGTTTCCCCAGTCAAAATACCGATCGTTTGACTCGTGTGTGCAGTCACCGGAGCAGAATGACCTGAGTCATGCCTATGGCAGCACAGCTGGAGAGATGCTTAGCAGAGTGATGGTTCAACTTGCAGGGCAGAGATTTCCACCCCTGCAAGGGGAGTACCCCATCAGAGAAGGCTAGAGAGCACATGGAGAGGGCAGACACATGAGCTTTGCTCTGCTTTGGCCAGGAGGCTCCTGGTGAGCGTGAGGCAGGTGACTGGGCTCCCTGGCCCAGGCAGCAAGATGTTCCTCCTGAGGAATGCTTGGTGACCAGTACTCACTCCCTTTTGGTATCCCCAAATTCCTCTTTTTTTTCCTCCTCAGAAATGCCTTGCAGTACCCTGCTGTCTTTCCTAATCCTTGAAAAGTTCATTCTCCTTTTGAGTTCCTTTATGTTCTTGAAATCCTTTAGGTCCTGTTGGGGTGGGAAGGAAAATTGGCTGTAGGAGGGGTAAAATAACAATGGGACCATAGTGCCCAGCTGATCTGGAGAGTCAAAATTAAAAGGTGCTAAAGAGTTTCGTTTGGGTTGAAATGCTGACCAGTTTCGATCCCTCCCATTCCCAGTTTAACCTGAAACACAGCAGCTGCTTTGGACAGCAGGGATTTTTTTTCCCCTCCTTTGCACTCTCTATATTGATAACTTTTACTGCATTTACTGCAGTTTCCTAACAGTATTTGTCATCTGTGACTGAAAAGTGGCACGAGCTAGATAGTGTGACCATGATCATTATTAGGAGCCCCAGCTGAGCATGGGCCACCACCACACTCACTGTGTGATGCCTCTTAATTTTCTCTCTGTCTGACAGCAAGCATGGCCCAGTGGCACTCAGCAGATCCTGCTCCCTCCTGCCTGGCAGCAGCTGACCGGGGTGGCCACCCACACTTCTGTCCAGCACGCGACCGTCATCCCGGACTCCATGGCGGGCACCCAACCTCTGGCAGACTGGAGGTAAACTGAAGGTGCTTGCAGGCTCCCTGAAGTACCCACCGGTGCTGGAGGAGGCATGAGAAGAGCCGGGGTGCGAGGGACGGGGACTCACAAGGCTGCAGAGCTTGGGGGGGAGAAAGGCAGAGGCTGCAGGCTGTGCCCCTACTGTCTGGGAGCTACAGGCAGCTTCTCTGTTCCCCATCCTGGAAGTGGAGTGCCATGCCCATGCTGCTCCCTGGGGGAAACGCTCCTTCCTGGGGGGATTGGGACCCCAGCGGGTCCTGGAGGAGGGTGCCTTGGTGAAGGCGGTGGGAGCCTGTGAAAAAGAGCTTGCAGAAGAGCCACTGGTTGCATTTTAAAACCTGTGCCTGTCTCCCCACTTTGCAGAAACACCCACGCTCACGGCAGCCATTATAACCCCATCCTGCAGCAGCCCGCGCTGTTAGCTAGCCATGTGACTCTCCCTGCAGCCCAGCCTGTCAACGTGGGTGTCGCTCACGTCATGCGCCAGCCACCCGCCACCACCACCTCCACCAGGAAGAGTAAGCAGCACCAGTCGGCGCCCCGGTGAGTGTGCACGCCTCCCGGCATTGTGTCGGTCATGGCATCAGTGAGGCAGGAATCCATACCTGGGTTGTTCTGAATGCAGCCCTGCAATGCAGCCATGCTGATGACAGTGGTGTTTGCTGACATCTGTGGGGCAAAATAAAGTTTGTTCCACGGCCCATGATTGATTAGGTCACGCTTTTTGTGACTGGGCTCTTTGCTGCTTCACCTCTTCTGTACCCAGGTCAGGAGAGCAGGGGGTAAGAGGTAGTCAGGTGCATTTTATGGCCAGAGAGCATCATTCACGTGGGAGTTAGTGGCTGGAGGGGATGCAGGATGGGAGGCTCAGGTCCTGTTCATACAGCTCATTATGCTGCAGTGATTACCTGAGGCCATGTAATCACCGTAATATAAAAAATAACAATATTCTCAGGTCAGCGTGTCACAGTGCCCACTTGCCACACCTTTTCTTCCCACGTCATCTCGAAGAAGCACTCCTCAGGTGCAATGTCTGCATTTCCACAGGGTGGTGCACCTCCAGGGGACTGCATCTTCAGGAACGTGTGCCTGATGTGTGCACACCACATCTGCCCTTTCAGAAGCAATGGGATGAGGACCTATCTTCTGAGCTTTAATGCCATGCAGAGTGGAGGACTGGGGTGGCTTTAGGCCACCTTCAAGCTCTCTAGCTCCTAATGTAGGTGGTTGGCCCCTATCTTCAACAGTTCACACCAGCAACAGATACCCACACTGGCCTTTTTATAATCATGGCAGCATAAAACAGGGAGCATTTTATAAGGACATCTCATACAGGGGCAGTCCTTAGACACCTAAATCTATCAACCAACTCAAGTTGTCTCTGCAAGGAAGGGACTGGGTTTTGGTTCATACTATGTTATATGGCACAACTAAAATGGTAGGATGATTACAGTGCCTGTGATCTTGCCTAGAGGAAAAGGCTGTTTAAGATGTATGTGCAACTATTCTGGGGACAGTCCTCTGGGCTGTGAAACTAATACATTTGTTTTAAAAAAAACAAAACAGTGCTGGGGAGAGAACCAAAATGGGTCACCACTTGTGCAGTGGCAAAAACAGAGGAGCTTGCGGTTTTCCTGGGTGACTGGACTGGGGCCAGAGAAGCTTTGAGTTCACAACCAATTTGACTTTAGTTAAGAGGCCACTATTTAAATCCTTCACATTTATCTGCTCTCTAATGTTGCATTTACTTTGGGTGGGCTCCAGCTGTCTTAGTTCATTCGTAATGTAGAGCAGAGTCATCTATGTCCCCAGCAAGCCAGGAAAAGAGAGCGCCTGTTACAACCAGTGTGCCTGTGCAGGGCCGCCCCTCTTTCGTCCCTCTTGGGGGGCAGGGTGGCAGCATCCAGGAGGACTTGGGCACTTTCAGAGCAACGGGTTTCTACGGCTTCATTAATTGTGACACTTTTGTAGCTAAATGAGAAACATGCTCCTTTGGAGAGGAGAGTACTCCACGCTGCTAGTTGGTATTCAAAAAGCACTGCAAATGCTACCGTGCAGCCATTTGTTATGCAAAAGACCCTGTATAGTTGGTATAGTGCGATACGTCCATAAAGACTTCCTTTTGATGGATGCCACCTATTCCTTTTCTTAGCTTCGGGCCAAGCTGAACATGTAGCCCAGGCTCCACTGTAGAATAAAACCAGGACTTTGTTTTGTTCCTTTTTGAATCTGTGAATGTTCTGCAACAGGCAGAAGAAATGAAAGTTTAAAAAAAAAAAAAAAAGGGGGGGGGGAAGAAAGACACTGCTGTGGAAAAATAAAAAAGAAAATGTGGGAAATGAGTGAAATGGGCTTTAGTCAGTAAAGTTACCAAATTTTGTTTGGTAACTATTCCCATCTGCGGACCTGTGCTGCATAGTTTGGTGGACAGCTTCTGTGTTCAGTTCCCTGATCCAAGTGGACCCTTCCCACCCGTCAGGCAGGGAAGCTGAAGTAGTAAGACTGTGAAAAAAACAGGACTTGAGAATGTTTTTCTACTGCATAATAAAAAGATGTATATATGCTTTACCTGCTGCCTCATGTGGAATGGAATCAAACTGTGTATATGTCCTCCCCTCTGCGTGCTCTCATCCATGGGACTCCACTATTATAGAGGATGAAGCATTGGGCAGGAAATGTTCACTGAAAAGTTTCTTAAACAGAAAATTAAATTTTCAACTAAGAAAAACAGTTTTCCTGATAAATGATTGTTGTTTACCAAAATAAATTCTCATTTTACCTTTAGCTTTTTCTGGCCAAAAAATATCTAGTCATGATGCATCTGTGCAGGATACAGGAGAAAAGGATTATCATTTGGGTTCTTCTTCCTTTTGTGACAGCCATACTGTGCCTGCCTGTGTTTTTTAGGTCCGGGTTGTATGACTAGCCTCTACTTCTGGGCACAAACTCCTGGGAGGCAGAATATCTCGTTTGGAAATTTCTAGGGAAAACAAAATTGAATTTTTTACTAAAAGAAACTGCTTCTCAGGCAATTATGTGAATAAGTCATGTGAGGCACTCTGTTCTTTGAGGTGACTATGCCAATTTTGCAGTTTTCCTAGACTCCATAAATCCATGCCACTGAATCAGAGCCCAGGAATCAAAAGCCGCGTCAACCAACAACTCAAGCAAACTGAGTTTTAACCAACTAACAACCTTTCCCATTTCCAGAAATGCATCCACCTATGAAGTTTCATCCTCTCAATCCATCAGCTCGCCTCAGCGGTCGAAACGAGTGAAGGAAAACACGCCTCCCCGGTGTGCCATGGTGCACAACAGCCCTGCCTGCAGCACCTCTGTTGCGTGCAGTTGGGGCGATGTGGCGACCAGCACCACACGGGAGCGGCAGCGGCAGACAATAATCATTCCTGACACCCCTAGCCCCGCAGTGAGTGTCATCACTATCAGCAGCGACACAGATGAAGAGGAGGAGCAGAAGCATGCACCCACCAGGTGAGCAGTGGCTCTCTGCTCTTCTCTGTGTGCTCTGTCCTGGAGCATCCCAGGAGTTGCTGTAGAGTCCCAGGAGTTATGATTGGGTCTCAGCACCCAGGTCATCTTTTGTTTGAGAGGAAAGGCAGTGGGGAGGCTAAAATACTAGCTGAGGACTCTGCAAACTTATTTAGGTAATATTCCCTACCATGCTGTACATTTGTTGTGTGACCTTGGAAAAGTGAATAGTCTCTCTGTGCCATAGTTTCTCACCTATAAGAGGAAATAGTTTTCTCTGTCTCACAGGTAAGGAGACTTTAGAGATCCTATGGTGATGAGCCCCTTTAAGTCAGATAGCCATTTAAAACAAAGACAAAAAGAAGGGCTTGGGTGAAAGGTAGCTTAAAATTGCCTTTTTCTAAGTGATCCAGGCAATGACACCTCCCATAGGTGCTATTTTCCATAAAAAGGTCCTGAAGAACAGTTAGTGGTTGTGTTGTAAACACTCAGTAATGGTAAGTACATTGCAAGAGGGTTGCTTAGTTCTGATGGTGTTGCCAAAACATCCCTGAACTATTGTCTTAAGTGGCAAAAAATGGATGGCTTTTTGACTGACTGCAGAGAGGCATGGATGAGGCTATAAAGTGACTGACTGAGTTTGCTCCTCAGAGAATTAACTCACCCGAGTGAACAGTGCAGCCCAGGACTGCTGCCACTGCTGATCACCTACTATGAATGAGAGACGACTTCGTTTTCGAGGACTGTCTTTTCAGCACATTTTCATAGATGCAAGTGCTTTAGGTTTCCCATCTGATGCCAGTCACAAGACATCACTATGTTTTATGAATTGTAGAGAAGTAGCCTTCAAACAGATGAATAATTCTACCACCTTTGTGTTGGTAACTGAGATAGAAATTTTTTTTACCTTATCCCTCCAGTATTGTTGTGAGAGAACTATTTTATTTAATTAGGATATGCTCCATGGCACATTTTCCTTTAATCATTGGAGATATCTATCTATATCTCTGCACCTCTGTGCTATAGTGATAAATGGAGCACTGCAAATGCGCACAGAACGGATGAGATGCATTTGGCCTCAAGGAGCTAAAAATCTGTAAGGAGGAGCCATATGATTCAGGCATCTAGGACTGCAATTTTAACCTGCGTCCTGACAGCCACCACCACTTCCCATTCCCCTTCTCCCTACCAGTGAAGTCCGCCAGGCAGCGAGAGCTCATTGCCTCTCACATTCAGACTTGCCATGAATGCAGTGGTTATTGTGGGGAACTGATCACAGGACAGCATAACATATTTCACCTTAAAAAAAAAAAAAAAAAAAAAGTTACAGTATTCCGTAGTTTGAAGGGAGAAGAAAGTGTGTTTTCGCAGAGTTGAATGAAGGTCAGTGTGGAAGGCAGGTGGGCTATAAATAAGGAACCCCAACTTCCAGGGCTCCCACCACAGGAAAGGAAGGGCAAGACAAAAGAGATGCTAAAAGCTAAGGTTGTGAGGTTGGGCAACATGAAGAGGACAGGTATCTCAAGGGTCATGGGAGCTATTTGCAAGCATGTTTACCCATAGTGCTGATCCCAGGCTTTGGGAAATTATATGTAATTATACTTACCACCTGCATATCATCTTGGGTCAGCAGGAGGTGGAGGAAAGAGCTGGGATCCTGCAGCCACTTAAACTAACGGTTGTCTGCTCTGCTTCAACTTGCTGCCATCTGACCAGTTTCTTCAGTCGGCACCTCTTCAGGGAGACAGGCAGAACAAAGTTCTGGAAAATGTCTGGAAACTGAGTTGGGAGTTTGGGGTATTTAAATATTCGGACAAGGTCTGCTGAGGGGTTAGAAAAGTAGTCCCAGGAGCCAGAATTATATAAACAAACTGGCTTTGATATGACTAAAGGATGTTCAGGACACATTCCTGCCTGGGATCAGATTCCTGGCTACTTTTTGTATCCATATGGCATATCTATACAGAGTGCCAGGGCAACAGCATTCCTGGAAGGCCAAAGCTTAAGAGCTAGATATAATTTCTGAGCCATGTAGAGACATTTCTCTTGGACACAGACTGTTCTCGGGCACCTTTTGGAATTCCAGAGCAAGTTAAATTACCTGTGCAGATGTAACCAGAGCGAGCAGAGAACTAGGGGCAGAGACACAGATGGAAAACAGCATGTCCAGAATGAGAATTTTTGCTTAAACTCTCCAGGAGAGTGAAATCAGCTCGCTTGGTGCCTTTTGACCTGGGCATATCTAAGATCAGATTTTTAGCTGGAGTAAAAATGTAGCTTCCAGTCAAGGAAGCTGTATCAGCATTTAATGCCAATGAACTTTGTCCCTGACAAAGCTGAGGTCTTTTTCATTGAAAGCACGTCACATTTAGGAAAGTACCTCTGATTTTTCTTTCTGTTTTTTTTGTCTCCAAGAAAAAAGGGAGTGACAGTGAAATATGGGTTTTTTTCTGTAATCAGTGCCCGAATATTCAGGATCTGAGTCGAAAATGAAACTGTGCAAAGAATGCATTGTCTCACCCATATTTATGCAAAATATTACCCTGTTGGGCAATCGCTGTGGTGTGGGAGTGAAAAATAAATAACTTGAAACACACTATTGGTCACATCCTAACAATATTAGCTTTTTCTAGATTAGAATACAGAAAACATACGGCACCTGACAGATCAGTCAAAGTTAATTGCCTGATCCCATCTTACTGATAGCAATGGTATCTTTGCATTAACTTCACTGACATTGGATCAGCTCCTGAATTTGCTACAGCACTTCCTGCTCTTATTTCCTGTGGGGTTAGAAATTTCTCTTTGACCCATGAGACTAAAAATGTTTATTTTATTGATTGCTCAGGGAAGAGAGATTAGAGCTACCTGTGGTTGTGAGAAGTAGTAGATCCTTCGATGATGTGAGAGTTCCTAAGTCTCAGTTTAGGAAAGACTGGTAACGCTCATAAAATACAATACTGCTGATGCAGTCAAGGAGCCCTTCAGCTTGGTTTTACTCTGACAGAAAAGCCTCTCTGTAACACACAGCAGCAGAGAGAGCTTTTCTAGTACAGAGAATGCAACTTTTTAATTGGCAAAAGAAAAATCTGAAGAATTCAGTGTGATACAGGCAGAATTTTCCTTTTCCCAATGAAAAGCACAGATATTCAAGTGGGATGTTTGTGAAATACTGGCTGACTGGGCAGGCAGGACAGTACGTTTCTTGTTCTTTGCTCACATGTGTTTTGCCCTGTTGATGAGTGTAGCTTGGTGTAATCTTTTTAGAAATCAATAGTCATCTGAAAATATTAGGTTCCTTTTAGGTAAAGGTGCTGGGGAGGTGGGCTCTGGGGTACCTGCTCAATGGAGACTTGTCAAAGGGGGCCATCTGCTGGGCCCCAGCCCCATGCCTGGGGCAAAATCACAGATGAGGGACCTCAGGTATAATTTGGCAGGGACTGTCCTAAGATAAATGGTCAGACATCTTCAGGGGCCAGATTCCTGAATTTAAAAGTCAGTTTGTCAAAACCAAGGCTTTTTGCAGGCTACATGGAGTAACAGGGAAGCTTCAAAACTGCACAACTGACTTTTTTTTTAAGGGAAAGAAAGCATTAGGCAATTAATTAAGGGGAAGACTTCTCTTTTCTGGTTTATTTGAGTTTTTTGCTTATTTTAAAATGTAAGGAAATAACAGAAAACCAATTTTGAAATGGTCAAAATAAAAACTGAACATTTTGACTGTACCTGATGCCCACAAAGTTTTGCATGTGACATTTTGTCCCATAGAACGGTAAGAAAAAAGTTTGCCTATAAAAAGCATTATCTGCACAAAAAAACAATTTTGTGGCCCTGTGTATTTATCACCAGTGAATTTCTAGACTCTCAGTTCAGCACCCTTGACAAAGAGACTCTATAGGCCAAAGAGATGTTTACTGCTGTGCTGTTATTTATTCTGGAAAGAACAATTTAGGTCTAAACATTACCTGTAAAGCACTAAAGAGAGTAAAAACAGAACATAGACCTGGTATTTTTCTTATAAATTTATTCCCCTTGAGTTTCTCTGCTTGCTCTGGCAAGCAAGTCAAGCAGACAGACAGACTGACTAACAGTGCAACTGCTGTAATCACAGTAATCGGAGCACATATTCAGCAAGCAGCAAGTAGTAGGGGTTAAGTACCCTCCAGTATGCAACTTCACATGGTGCAGTGGTTTAAATGTAAATCCTCCCTTGATTAATTATTTCTGAAGCTTAGAAGCTGCAAAAAATTAAGCAACAACTGAAACACAGAGCAGAGAGGCACAAGTGCACTGTGGGATGTCCAAATTGTGTCTGGGAGAGAGGGAGAGCATGCATGGTCCTGCCAAGGGCCACGTTGCAGAGCATGGCAGGAGAAAAGGGTGGAAGGAAAGGCAGTGTAGGTGGCTGTTGTGACGTGCCTAGGTGACTTACCATCCCACCAATGAGTACAGCAGCCAAGGAAAAGATGTTTTCTTGAAACATTACAGTGGTGGCCTTGAGGGGGGTGGTTTTGATGGTGCTTCCACTCCAAATAGGGAGGAGAGCCCCTCTGTTCCCCACTGCCTGCTCTGTTTGTGCTAGTCTCATAAGTAACACCTCGTCAGCTTGGCTTTCTGTGGGATACTTACAGTAATCACTGTCTTCCTGGGCAAGAGAGAGTGACCACAACTGTCATGTGGGCATACTGAATACCTGCCCCATTGGCCATCTTCACTGGCACAAAATTCTTGCAGGGTTGAGTTTTTTCCTTTTTCTTAAGATGGTAAACTATACAGTGAAGTCTCTGTGTGAGTCTCACCTTTGTAACTGAGCATGAGCTGATGCAAGTTGTTAATTCAGCTTATTCACATTGTAGTGCAATGGTGGTGGAGCGTACTTCAGAGGACTTTCATTCCCCTTATGCACAGAAATCGCTGGCAGGCACAAATCAGGTGTTTTTGCCAACTTGCTGATGTGTGTGTGTGAGGGTCAAAGTATCATTTGTAATTCTCTTTTGACATCTAGCCTATTGTGGCTATGTTATGCTGTGCATAGTAATGCACTGACTCTGCATAGCAATATGTTGACTAACCACAGTCATCTGGTATAAAGATTGCTGCCTTCCATCTCCAGAAGACACACCGACATGCAGCTAATACTTAAAGTAACAGAGATAGACAGTAGCTCTCTCAGCAAACCTTCAGCAGCAGAACCTTTACAACCTGCTAAGCAATGCAGTATATATGACTTAAGTAGCTGCAGCACATGCTATATAGCCTAATAAAATGGCCTCAGTGTAGTACTTGATAAATATTTCTTACCATCACAAATTCACAAAGAAGGTGAGAGCAGATTAACAGGTCAGGATGGAGGCTGAGCTGAAGAGAGAGAGGGGCATGTTCTCAACACTAAGCTATGCATGGCATAAGATTTCAATGTGAAGAGAGCAATTGCAGTTGTAGTGTGAGTTTTTGTTGGCTGACTCTATACTTTCCCAGAATAGGTGGATTATTCTGAAGCAGCAAACTGAAAAGGTTGCATGTTATTAAGTTTTCAGAGACCTGGAACAGAATTCTTGTGATGTGATGTAAAGTTAACATGCCATGGTATACATGCACACCAATTCAAAGGCACAGTTGTGGGATCGGTGCCTTCTTCCCTCAAACTAGAAGGCCATGTTGGTGACCTTGAGACTTGAGAGCTGAAAGCCTCTGTTGCTCTAGCGTCAGCTTCCCTAAAAGGTTTGTATGTCTGTGGGTGAACCACACGCTGAAGAATTGCCCCCACTAGACTCCATTTGCTTTTTCTGGGATTCTGGTGTAACTGGAGATATTCACGGAAAAAAGATCCTGTTCATGAAATGCTATCAGACACCGAGCTTTTGGGCTGGGCCTTCAGCAAGTAGAAATCATCTCAAATTGCACTGTTACAAGAGCTTTTGTCCCTGTCCTTGTGCTTGGCTATTTAGGTGGTTACAATGTTGTTTTAACACCTAATTCAGCATCTTCTTTCCTTAATTTCCTCTCGCTTTTCGTTCTCATCTGCCTTCAGCACCTTTCCATTAATAGTATCTGAGATGCCCACCTTAATTTCTTACCCTGTGCATTAGCACAAACTATCTTCTCTTTCCTCCATCAGACTTTTCCTTGAGATCTTTCCTTGCTCTGGGGAATAGAGACCCTCGTCCTTCTCTCCACTGTGCACTCATGAGAGTGGTATATGCTAGAGAGCTGTCTCTGAGAGCCAATTCTGCATATTCGAAGGTACAGTCATGCTCTGTGTCCACACACTGGACAGACATGAATTGGTTTGTGTCCAAGTTTGAGAAGAAGCTCTTCAGGACCAGGTGGGAATGGGCTACCACTCACGAACTAATAATAAACTTAGAAAGCAATGCATATTTTTCCTACTGCTGTTCTGATAGGGAGGATGCAGCTGCAGCCAGTAAGGGTTAAAAAGTCTTCCTGGCTTATTGCTTTTCAGTCTCTGTAGATGGATTTGATGCCACTTGGGTGATCTTCCCCCTTCCCTCCTCTGGAGAATTAAAATACACCTACCCACATAATGCAAGCAGGCACACAAGCTGACCAGGAACACATGCTGACTCTCAACACTACTAAATCACATACACTGCTGCTACTGTGCTTGCAGGAGCGAAAGCAATTACCAGGCTTGGAGTCAGCTTAATAAGAAGGGGGCAAGACTTTTAATAGTATTTTTCTCTGTAAGCACAAACATCCCCAAAAGCTGTGTCTGAGTTGTGGGAATACAGTAAGCTTGCTGAATAGGCCAAGTACTGTGTCAACAGATAAAAGCTTTCAGTCCTGATAGTTTGTGAGCAGGGAAGATGATATATCAGCCTGGACCTCACACCAATATCTCCAGCATTACAGTGAGTTGGGGAGAGCAGCTGAGTCCTCAGAGGAAGCTGGAGAGGAGGACAGTTGCTGGCTAGCAAGAAGGTTCTGAGAAGGGGCAGTGCTAGCTCTTCTGGGTTCAATTTTCAAAAGCCCCCATTTCAGCTTAATGTGTATCACTAAGCCTGTGAATCAACTGATTTTCAGCGTGAGTTGAGCCTTTGATGCTTTTGAAATTCCCACCCTTAATCTCTCGGGCAGGCTGTGTTACAGCAGGTGCTGAGCTCTGGGCATGTGAATAGTCCTGCCTGACTTCTCTGCCAGCTCTGACATTAACCACAGTTGTTACCAAAAATCCAGCTGCTTTCGATGGGACTTCTTGTGCGCTTGAAATGA